GCCCCAAACCCTCTCCCCCCCCCCCCCAGCCATTACTGCTCCACACAGTGGAGAGAACACTGTTGAGTTTCCAGCTACAAACGCATCCTGCTCAGTTGTTGCTCATGTTCTTCCTAACGTGGATCCATCTCCCCTGTGCAGCTGAGCGCTGCCAAGGTGGGGGTCAGGCTCTCACCTTTGTGCTTTGTTATGTGCTGACACTTAGGGGCCATGCCCTGACTCTACAATTCCATTGCTCCTGCTTGGAACGTGCACTTCTGGAGCTGCTGCTGCAGTGCATCCATGTGTCTTGTAACACCATCATCTGGAATTTTAGGATTCAGTTTTGTGCATTAATTCATCTTTTAGCTCAGAACTGTCAAAATCTTGTTTTAGAATGGGAAATACTTACCGGTTTTGCCAGTTCCTTTCAGAAGCTAGGGGCTTGCTTTCTATAATCTCCTCCTCCCACATGGAAACCAGGCGTGGTTTGCAGTTCCAAGGCCAGCTTGGCACAGCTTCAAGTGTTAGGATCTGAATACAGGAGTGAAGCCCTGTAATAAGACCTGCCTGCACACAGGCGTCCTGCTTGCTTGGAGCCTGACCTCCACTGCGAGGCACTGACCTTGGAAAGGAGTCTCATCAGGTCAGAAACCACACTCAGTGGTTCTATATTTATCTTCCCAGTGGGCACCGAGGTGTCCTCCTGGCCTCCAGGCTGCAGTGAGCATTTCTGGCCACACTTCCAACTCGTGCTTTGTTGCTGATGTGGCTTTTGTGTCAGTGGGGCACCCGTCCCAGTCTGTGTGCTGGGCAAACTGGGTTTGCTGGGAGTTCTGAGCAACACCTTCTACCCCTGAGGCAGCCAAACCTCAGCAGGTACATGGGTAGGAGGAAACACTGGTGGCATCCAGGTGTTTCTAGGTGGCAACAGCCCTTTGCTGGAACGGTGGCTGAGTTGTCTCCCTCCCCTGTTAAAAGAAGCTGGGATCCAGCTTGTCTTTATTTATAGCAACAATGTACAGTTGCCTTGGCAGAGAGGAGGGGAAGAAATGCAACTACTTCATCTTCCTGTGGTTAGGCCAAGTCTGCTGGGCAGGCTGCCCCTCCAGCCTGGCGTGTGAAGTCCTGCCTACACTAGTGGCAGATCTGCCATAGCTGGTGTGTGCTTTACTTCTGA